AGGTGACCTTCAGCTTGTATTAAGCCTCCCTCATTTCCCGATACAGCATTTGGTCTACTATTATTAATTTTGATATTCGGCTTCCCTCACTAGACCAGTGATTACAGAGGTCTAACTCCTAGCTCCTTCTCTGCTTCCCTGGGCACAATGAATTTCCTAGAGACCTCTACTTGCCCTGTCTGGATTTATCAAATGTAATCAGACAGAGGATGCACACAGAGAAAGAACACAGATGATAGTTGATAACAAAACAAAAAACCCCACCAAGACAAATGTTCAGGGAGCGCTGGTACCTTTCATTTGCAACCCACTCAAGTAGAGTCTCAAGTTCTCAAGAATATACAGTAAGGACCACCCTGTCCCCAGCTTGCATCGCTCAGCTGCAGCTGGTACCTGGAACTTTCATGATCAGTACAAAGCTTTTCAGTGTTTAAGATATTTGAAGGTTTAAATGTACAAATAGTTTAGGATCAGACTTAGGCATCAGTCGCAGTTCTTGAGGGAGGGGAAAGGTAGAGAAAGGTGGGAATGGTAGAGAAAAGCCAGGAGGCAGACTAGAATACTAAAGAGGCAGAAGAGGGAGGACCCTAAAAGAAGCCTTGCCTTGCAAGATTTGAGTCTTCTTGTAGCATGGAGTTCAGAGCGTATCCATTCTAATATTCCAGCTTGGAAAGCCATTTTGAGCAACAGACCCACTACAGCGCAAATTCAGAGCCATATATGCCTACTTGGAAGAGCTGCTGACAGAGAAAGCTAGAATGATCCCTATCTAGCCAGGTTAAAGGGAAAAAGCACTGAGGTTTGAGGCTCCAAGCATGTGGTTGTGATGAAGCCCGGATAGCACAAAGGTTAAAGCGTTACTAACGGCAAGATTATAAGCAGCTTAAACCCATTAGTCACTCCACAGAAGAAAGGACAGTGAGCTTCTCTAAAGATTGTTGTTAAAGAAACCGACTGTAGCGGATTTTCAGGGGCTGTAAAGTAGCAATAGAGATTGCCCATCTTTCTCCTGTCGACTAGCTAGCAGGTGGATTTGAGCTGCGTGCCTTCGGATTGCCAGAGCAACTCTTTACCTCGAGACCACCAGAGCTCCCTTGCCCTAAGGATTACAGCCTTGAAAACCTATGGGGAAATTGTACGTTCTCTGTGGGTCTCAACAGATTCCACAGTCAAGGGTTTGGATTGTTGTGATGATGTCACTGTCCCGCCCGCCCCAGGACCGCCCTATCCTGAACGGGACACTCCAAGGGGAAGCGGAGGCCAGCAGAGTTTTTTCAAGCCAAAGTGGTTCCCTCCGACCCGCGCGGGCACAGAGATCAACCGTGCGAGGCCACGTCTGGATCCTGAAAAACCCAAGCCGAGTTGCCATAGAGACACCTCTGCAGCCCAGCCAGCCGGAAGTCTCCGCCCCCGGGGCTCCGGCCGGGGTCGTCGGACGGAAGCTCCCACAGGCCCGGCCAGCGGCCAGACACACCCCAACCCGGAGACCTTGGGGTCTAAGAACCGCCCAGAAAGGCCATTTCCGCTATCAGTGCTGGGGGAAGCCTGTGCATCCGGGGGGCGCGGGAGGCGCGCTGTTTGTGCGTCACTTCTGGCGAGCGGGGCGGAGACAACGGCAACATGGCCCTGAACGGTGCCGGTGAGGACTTGGCCTGCGGGGGCCTGTGGCTGCGGGGTGCAGCAGGCAGCTCGCTCCGGCAGGATCCCCCGGCCCCTTGTGCCTCTCTTCCCCCAGAAGTTGATGATTTCACCTGGGAGCCTCCGACGGAGGCGGAGACCAAGGTCCTGCAGGCGCGACGAGAGCGGCAGGATCGCATCTCCCGACTCATGGGCGACTATCTGCTGCGCGGTTACCGCATGCTGGGCGAGACGTGCTCGGACTGTGGGGTGAGGCGAGGCCGGGGCGGGGCCACTGGGGGACGGAGCCTTAAACCGATGCTTCCCCTCTGGACCTCTCGCCAGGCGTCTCACCTGCTTGTTGTGCTTTTCGCCCCTAGACCATCCTCCTCCAAGACAAACAACGGAAAATCTACTGCGTTGCTTGTCAGGAGCTCGACTCAGACGTGGATAAAGATAATCCGGGTGAGGGTCAGGTGTGCTTGGTGGAGAGGCTTGGTGATGGAGGCCCTGTAGTGCTTGAGGAACCAATGGGTGGGGCGGGCGTAGGGCACTTTATGCCATGAATTCATCAGAAATAGGACTGGGTATTTCCCGTGTGCCAGACATTGTGGGAGAGTCCGAACTCAGTCAGGCAGTCTTGATGGGGGGAAAAGGGAAGTACATAATTGTGCTACAAAATAGAGAACGGAGTTGTCGTAGAGCGAGAGAAAACATCTCCAAAATGGAAAGAACGGAACAGTTAATAAAGAAAGTGGCCTCCTGACCTTTCCATTTAATTTTCTTTTTAGCTCTGAATGCCCAGGCTGCCCTCTCCCAAGCCCGGGAGCACCAACTGGCCTCTGCCTCGGAACCCCCCTCAGGCTCTCGGTCCGCCCCTCAGCCCCCAGTACCCCGCCCGGAGCATTGTGAAGGAGCTGCTGCCGGGCTCAAAGCTGCCCAGGGGCCGCCCCCTCCTGCAGTGCCCCCAAATGCAGACGTCTTGGCCTGCACGAAGACAGCCCTCCTGCAGAAGCTGACCTGGGCCTCTGCTGAACTGGGCTCCAGCAGCTCCCTGGAGACCAGCGTCCAGCTGTGTACCCTCATCCGGGCTTGTGCAGAGGCCCTGCAAAGCGTGCGGCAGCTGCAAGACTAGAAGCCCCTGAGAAAAACCATCTAGAAAATCAGCTGTTGCTCAGTGTGGTTCGTTCTTTCCTTGGTCTGAGTGTGCATGCTCGTGCCCACTTGCCTTTTCCCTTCTGACCTCACATCCTTCCACTCTCTGCTTTCCTGAGAGGGGTTGAGCTTGTTTCTGCACAGATTACTCGCAGGATGAGGGGCAAGGGAGGGGACTATGTGGTACTCATTACCTAAGGAGGGGCCACACCTAAGGAATCCTCAAAGGGCAGTCAGGGTGGGCCACCCGCCTCGACTCTGGCAGTAGCCTCACCCCACAGCTTCCTTATTCATTCATTCATTCCTTACACATGAGCAAGTTTAGGAGTCCGCCCAGTGGTAGCTCCCACGTTCTCCCCTGAGCACTAGAGTCCGTCCATCACGTTATTCCAGCTCTGGGCCGATGCTCGGGACACTTGGAAGGAAGTACAGTGGCCCTGGTGCCAAGCTGCACTTTTGGGGTTGAGTTCCACTTCTGGCTCCTAGCTACAATTAGGGGCAAGGAGGGATAAAAATTGGGCACAAGCTGTGAAAACTGGAAAGAGCAAGAAGACTCAAGGCACTGCCCCCTCCCCTTTTGGTTTTCCCCCACTTTCCAGCCCAGCTCTCTTTTCTGGAAGCTCCCTTACCGCTTCTGTTGCTTCGCACTACGCGGGCCCACAGCCATTGCCCTTTTAGGAGCGGCCCCGCCCCGCGGGGTGGGCGGGGCAAGGGGCGGAGCCGCAGGGGCTGGGAAGGAACAAAGCGCGGCCTGCTGGCAGCGCCGGGGCTCAG